TGGAAAGTTGGGTATTCATCCCCTCAAGCATTTATCCTTTGTGTTACAAACAATTCAGTTGCACTCTTTTAGTTAGTTTTAAATGCACAGTTATTATTGACTATAGGCACCCTGTTGTGCTATCAAACACTAGGTCTTATTCATTCTTTCTAACTATTTTTTTATACCCATTAACCATCCCCACTGCCCTCCCCTCTCCCACTACCCTTCCCAGCCTCTGGTAACCATCTTTCTGCTCTCTGGCTCCATCAGTTCAATTGTTTTGATTTTTAGATGCCACAAATAAGTGAGAACATGTGGTGTTTGTCTTTCTGTGCCTGGCTTACTTCACTTAGCATAATGACCCCTAGTCCCATCCATGTTGTTGTAATTGATGGAATCTCATTCTTTTTTGTGGCTAAGTAGTACTTCATTGTGTGTAAGTACTACCACATTTTCTTTATTCATCTGATGATGGACACTTAGGGGTTGCTTCCAAATCTTGGCTACTGTGAACAGTGCTGCAACAAACATGGGAGTGCAGATGTCTCTTCAATAGATTGATTTCTTTTCTTTGGGGTATATACCCAGCAGTAGAATTGCTGGATCATATGACAGTTTTATTTTTAGGTTGGCTGGTTGGCTGGTTGGTTGGTTGGTTTGAAATGGAGTTTTGCTCTTGTTGCCCAGGCTGGAGTGCAATGGCGCAATCTTGACTCACTGCAACCTCCGCCTCCTGGGTTCAAGCAATTCTCCTGCCTCAGCCTCCCGATTAGCTGGGATTATAGGTGCCCACCCCCATGCCCAGCTAATTTTTGTATTATTAGTAGAGATAGGGTTTCAGCATGTTGGTCAGGCTGGTCTCGAACTCCTGACCTCAGGTGATCCACCTGCCTCCACCTCCCAAAGTGCTGGTATTACAGGCATGAGCCACCATGCCTGGCCCTATTTTTAGTTTTTTGAGGAATCTCTGAACTGTTCTCTATAGTGGTTGTACTAATTTACATTCTCACCAACAGTTTACAAGGGTTCCCTTTTCTCCACATCCTTGCCAGCATTTGTTATTGCCTGTCTTTTGGATATAAGCCATTTTAATTGGGATAAGATGATACATCATTATTGTTTTGATTTGCATTTCTCTGATGATCAGTGATGTTGAAGACCTTTTCATATGCCTTTTTGCCATTTGTATATCTTCTTTTGAGAAACTGAGAACTTTTGCCCATTTTTTAATCAAATTATTAGATTTTTTTCTATAGAGTTGTTTGAACTCCTTATATATTCTGGTTATTAATCCCTTGTCAGATGGGTAGTTTGCAAACATTTTCTCCCATTCTGTGGGTTGTTTCTTCACTTTGTTCATTGTTTCCTTTAGTGTGCAGAAGCTTTTTAATTTGATGTAATTCCATTTGTCCATTATTGCTTTGATTGCCTGTGCTTATGAAGTATTTCTCAAGAAATTTTTGGAGTTTCCCCAATGTTCTCTTGTAATAGTTTCATAGTATGAGGTCTTAGATTTAGGTCTGTAATCTGTTTTTATTTGATTTTTTTATATGGTGATAGGGGTCTAGTTTTATTCTTCTGCATTTGGATATCCAGTTTTCCCAACAATATGTACTGAAGAGACTGTCTTTTCTCCAGCGTGTGTTATTAGCACCTTTGTTGAAAATGAGTTCACTGTAGGTATGTGTATTTGTTTCTGGGCTCCCTATTCTGCTCCATTGGTCTATGTGTCTGTTTTTATGCCAGTACCATGCTGTTTTGGTGACTATAGCTCTGTAATATAATTTGATGTTAGATAATGTGATTCCTCCAGTTTTGTTCTTTTTGCTTAGGATAGCTTTGGCTATGTTGATACATATAAATTTTAGGATTTTTTTTTTCTATTTCTGTGAAGAATGTCATCAGTATTTTTATAAGAATTGCATTAAATCTGCAGATTGCTATGGGTAGTATGAACATTTTAACAATGTTAATTCTTCCAATCCATGAACATGGAATAGCTTTTTCTATCTTCATGTCTTCTTCAATTTATTTTATTAGTATAGTGGTCTATAGTTTCATTATAGTGCTCTTTCACTTCTTTGGTTAATTTCTAGGTGTCGAATTTTATTTATGGTTGTTATAAATGGGACTACTTTTTTTATGCTGCTTATTTTTTTACATTGATTTTGCATCCTGCAACTTTACTAAATTGATTTTTTGGTCGAGTGTTTAGGTTTTCCCAAATACAAGATCATATTATCTACAAACAAGGATAATTTGACTTCTTATTTTCTAATTTGGATATACTTTATTTCTTTCCCCTTTCTGATTTCTCTAGCTAGGACTTCCAGTACTGTTGAATAACAGTGGTGAAAAATGAGCATTCTTGTCATGTTTCAGATCTTAAAGGAAAGGCTTTCAGTTTTTCCCCATTCAGTATGATACTAACTGTAGTCTGTCACATATGGCTTTTATTATGTAAAAATATGTTTCTTCCATACTCAGTTTTTTGAGAATTTTTATCATAAAAGGATGTTGAATTTTATCAAATGCCTTTTTTAGCATCTATCAAAATGATCATATGGTTTTTGTCCTTCATTCTGTTGATATGATGTATTGCACTGATTGATATGTGTATATTTAACCATCCTTGCATCCCAGAAATAAACCCAACTTGGTCATAATGAATGATGTTTTAAATGTATTATTACATTCAGTTTGTTAGTACTTTGTTGAGGATTTTTGCATCAATATTCATCAAAGATATCAGCCTGTAGTTTTTCCTATTTTGTTACGTCTTTGTCTGGGTTTGGTTTCAGGGTAAAACTGGCCTTGTAGAATGAGTTTGGAAGTATTCCTTCCTCCCCTGTTTTTGAGAATAGTTTGAGTAGGATTGGTATTATTTCTTCTTTAAATGGTTGGTGAAACCCAGCAGTAAAGCCATCAGGTCCCAAGCTTTTCTTTACTGGGAGACTTTTTTTACAGTTTCAATCGTGTTACTTGTTATTGGTCTGTTCAGCTTTTTTATTTCTTCATGGTTCAATCTTGGTAGGTAGTATATGCCTAGGAATTTGTCCATTTCTTCTAGAGTTTTCAATTTATTTGCATATAGTTGCTCATGGTAGCCAATAACGATCCTTTGAATTTCTGAAATATTGATTGTAATGTCTCCTTTTTCATCTCTGACTTTATTGGACCCTCCTTTTTTTTCTTAGTTGGACTAAAAGTTTGTCAGTTTTGTTTAACTTTTCAAAAAATCAACTGCTTGTTTCATTGATCTTTTATATTTTCTTCGTTTCAATTTCATTTATTTCTGCTCTATTCTTTTTTTTTCCTTCTAATTGGATTATGATTTGTTCTTGCTTTTTAGTTCTTTAAGATGCATTGCTAGATTGTTTATTTGAGGTTCTTCTTTTTTGATGTAGGCACTTAAATAGCTATAAATAACCCCCTTAATACCTCTTAGTACTGCCTCTGCTGTATCCTATAGATATTAGCATATTGTGTTTCCATTATCATCTGTTTCAAGAAATTTTCCAATTTTCTTCTTAATTTCTTCATTGACCCCCTGGTCATTAGGAGCATATTGTTTAATTTTCATGTGTTTGTAGTTTCCAAAATTCCTGTTATTAATTTCTAGTTTTATTCCATTGTGTTCAGAGAAAATGCTGAGTTTAATTTTGGCCAGGTGCAGTTGCTCATGCCTGTAATCCCAGCACTTTGGGAGGCTGAGGCAGGCAGATTGGGGAATTCGAGATCAGCCTGGCCAACATGGTAAAACCCCATCTCTACTAATAACACAAAATAATTAGTTGGACGTGGTGGCAGTCATCTGTAGTCCCAGCTACTTTGGAGGCTGAGGCAGGGAAAATTGCTTGAACTGGGAGGCGAAGGTTGCACTGAGCTGAGATCATGCCATTGCACACCAGCCTGGGCAACAGAACAAGACTCTGTCTAAAAAAAAAAATTAGTTTAATTTTCTTGGATATTTTAAGACTTGTTTTGTGCCAGGCACAGTGCTCATGCCTGTAATCCTACCAGTTTGGGAGGCTGAGGCAAGTGAATCACTTGAGGTCAGGAGTTAGAGACCAGCCTGGCCAATATGGTAAAATCTCATCTTTACTAGAAGTACAAAAATTAGCAGAGCATGCTGGCGCATACCTGTCGTCCCAGCTACTTGGCAGGCTGAGGCAGGAGAATCACTTGAACCTGGGAGGTGAGGGTTGCAGTGAGCCAAGATCACACCACTGCACTCCAGCCTGGATGACAGAGCAAGACTCTGTTTAAAAAAAAAAAAAAAAAAAACTTGTTTTGTGACCTAATATATGATCTAGCCTTGAGAATGATCACTGTGCTTAGGAAAAGAAAGTGTATTCTGCAGCCACTGGATGAAATATTCTGTAAATAACTATTAGATTCATTAGGTCTGTAGTGCAGATTAAGTCCAATGTTTATTTGTTGTTTTTCTGTCTGGAAGATGTATCCAATGCTGAAAGTGAGGAGTTGAAGTCTCCAGCTATTATTGTAATGGGGCCTATGTCTGTCTTTAGCTCTGATAATATTTGCTTTATATATCTGGGTGCTCCAGTGTTCAGTGCATATAGTTTCAAAATTGTTATATCCTCTTGCTACATTGACCTCTTTATCATTACATAGTGACTTTGTCTCTTCTTATAATTTTGTCTTAAAATCTATTTTATCTGATATAAGTATAGCTATTCTTGCTCTTTTTTGATTTCTGTTAGCATGGAATATCTTTTTATATCCCTTTATTTTCAGGCTATTTGTGTCTTTATAGGTGAAGTGTGTTTCTTGTAGGCAAAAGATCACTGTGTCTTTTTTTTTTTTTTTAATCAATTCAGTTACTCTATGTCCTTTAATTGGAGAGTTTAGTCCATTTACATTTAATGTTATTTTGATAAGTAAGGACTTACTCCTGCCATTTTGTTATTTGTCATCTGGTTGTTTTGTGGTATTCTCTTCCTTTTTCTTTCCTTTCTGTCTTCCTTTTAGTGAAGGTGATTTTCTCTGGTGATATGGTTTAGTTTCCTGTTTTTTATTTTTTGTGTCTCCATTGTATGTTTTTTGGCTTAAGGTTACCAAGAGGCTTACAAATACTATCTTATAAGCAATTATTTTAAGCTAACAACTTAACACCATTTGCATAAACAAACAAGCAAGCAAAAAAAAAAAGCAACTAATAAAGTCTGTATGCCTTAACTTCATTGTCCCACCTTTTAACATTTTGTTGTTTCTATTTACATCTTATTGTACTGTCTATATTAAAATACTGCTGTAGTTCTTTTTGTTGGTTCATTGTTCAGTCTTTCTACCTAAGTATAGTTTATACACCACAATTACAGCGTTATAATATTCTGTGTTTTTCTGTGTAGTCACAATTACCAGTGAGTTTAGTACCTTTAGATGATTTCTTACTGATATTGACATGTCTTTCTTTCTGATTGAATATAGAGTACAGCCCTACAGGGTCCCGTGAGTTCCTCTCTGCTGGTGGGGAGACGAGAAACTGTGGAAATAAAAGACACAAGACACGTAGATGGAGAAAAGAGAGTTTGAGCCCAGGATCATGAAGGCCAGCAGTGGCCCCAAGTGCCTGGACACTGTGACTTTTCTTGAGTACAAAGCAGGGGGAAAGGCAGGTAGGATGAGGTAATGGTGGTCAGTGGTAGGGTCAGGTAAATCACGTGTCTTGGTGATAGGGGGCCCAGGACTTTGAAGTAGTCCAGGTGAGGAGAAAACCTAAGGCATCAGCACTTTTTTCACACTTGTCAAGAAATAACAAGGTCACTAAGATTTATGTTACTATTACTAATTCTTATCCTCTAAGAAAAAGAAGAACCAGGTGCAGAGGCAGAACTTGAAAGTAGCCATGGAATATGACTGCTGAAGCATAGCACCACATAGAGACAATTAAGTCCCCAGATGTCTGTGGGCTTCCCTGACAGCCGTCAGGTTTACCACAAGAGCTTGGAGAAGCAGAGTTTTCTCCTCACTCTCCCAAGCAAGGAGACATCTCAGCCATCTCAGACGTCTCCTTCCTAGCTAGCTAAACAGTGGGTGCCTTCACAGCACTGACATTGTCACACAGCCAAGGTGTCCTCCAGCAACCCTTATGCAGGCGTGACAGAGGACTTAGAGCACTTTGCTTTAGGGTCATCTCTTTTCCAATGCCACTTCAGTCCCATGCTTCTTGACTTGAGACTTATTAGGAAGAATAATGATTATATGATTATATAGATGTATATATTTGTGATTACATATGAATAGCCATGTGATTATATATGATTATATATAGGAATAACTATGTAACTATATCTCTAATTCTTTTCTAATTCTATGTTTATATGAGAACATGCTGAGGCTTCAGACCCTTGCCTCAGTTCTTGTGGGGTTTCCCCCCAACAACTGAAGTGCCCCCTTTTGCATTTCTTGTGGGACAGGTCTGGTGTTGATCAAATCTCTCAGCTTTTGTTTATCTGGGGAAGTCTTTATTTCTCCTTCATATCTGAAGAATATTTTCCCCAGATATACTATTCCAGGATAAAAGGTTTTTTCCTTCAGCACTTTGAATATGTCATGCCAATCTCCCCTGGCCTGTAAGGTTTCTACTGAAAAGTCTACCACCAGACATATTGGAACTCCGTTTTTTGTTATTTGTTTCCTTTCCCTTGCTGCTTTAAAATGCTTTCTTTATCCTTGACCTTTGAGAGTTTCTTTTTTTTTTTTTTTTTTTTTTTTTTTTTTTTGAGACGGAGTTTCGCTCGTGTTACCCAGGCTGGAGTGCAATGGCGCGATCTCGGCTCACCGCAACCTCCGCCTCCTGGGTTCAGGCAATTCTCCTGCCTCAGCCTCCTGCAGAGTTTCATTTTTAAATGGAGGTAGTCTTGTGTTTAATCTGTTTGGTGTTCTATAACCTTCTTGTACTTTGATATTGATATTTTCCTCTAGGTTTGGAAGTTTCTCTGTTACCATCTTTTTGAATAAACTTTCTACCTCCTCTTTAAAGTCAATAACTTTTTGCCTTTTTGAGGCTTATTTTTTTTTAGATCTTGTAGGCATGCTTCTTTTTTTTTAATTGTTTTTTCTTTCATCTCCTCTGTGTATTTTCAAATAGCCTGTCTTCAAGCTCACTAATTCTTGATCAATTCTGTTATTAAGAGACTCTGATGCATTCTTCAGTATGCCAGTTGCATTTTTCAGCTCCAGAAATTTTTGTTTATTTTTAATTATTTCAACCTCTTTGTTAAATTTACCTGATAACATTCTGCATTAATTCCTTCTCTGTGTTATCTTGCATTTGAATTTCCTCAACATAGCTATTTTGAATTCTCTGTCTGAAAGGTCACATATCTCTATGTCTCCAGGATTGGTCCCTGGTACCTTATTTAGTTCACTTGGTGAGGAGGTCAGATTTTCCTGGATGGTGTTGATGCTGGTAGATGTTCCTCAGTGTCTGAGCATTGAAGTTAGGTATTTATTGTAGTCTTTGTAGTCTGAGTTTGTTTGTACCTGTCATTCTTGAGAAGGCTTTCCAGATATTCTAAAGGACTTGAGTGTTGTAATCTAAGCTGTATCTGATTTAGGGGCTACCTCAAGCTCAGTAACACTGTGGTTCTTGCAGACTCATAGAAGTATTGCCTTGATGGTTTTGGATAAGATCCAGAAGAATTCTCTTAATTACAAGCAGAGACTCTTGTTCTCTTCTCTTGCTTTCTTCCAAATGAATACAATACCTCTCTTTTTGCTATGAGCCACCTGCAGCTGTGGGTGATGTGATGCAACACCCCTGTGGCCACTACCACCAGTACTGCACTTGGACAGACCTAAAGACAGCACAGTACTAGGTCTCACCCAAGGCCTGCTGTAACCACTTCCTGACTATGGCCTATGTTCAAGGCCCTGGAGCTCAAGGCTCTGGGGTTCTACAATCACCAGATGGCAAAGCCAGCCAGGCCTATGTTCTTTTCACTGCAGCAAAGTCCCACAGGCCCCAGGTTGTTCCAGAGGTGCCATCCAGGAGCAAAGGACTAGAGTCAAAAACATTAGGTGTCTACCTGGTATTTTACTGTACTGTGGCTAAGCTGGCACTCAAACCACAAGATACAGTTCTTCCCATGCTTCCCTCCCCTTTTCAAAGGCAGGGAAGCCTCACCCCATGACCACCACCAACACTGGCCCACAGGGAGTACTGCCAGGCCACCACCAATGTCCTAAGATCCAAGTGCCTTTCAGTCAGCTTGTGGCGAATGCTGCCTGGCCTGGGGCTCAACTTCATGGCAGTGGGCTCCACTCTGGTCCAGGGTAAGTCCAGAAATGCCATCTAAGAGTCAAGTCCTGAAATCAGAGACCTCCAAGAACCCATTTGTGTTCTACTCCCCTGTGGCTGAGCTGGTATGTAAGGTGCAAGACAAAGCCTGCTTTGCTTTTCCCTACACTTTTCTTAAGTGGAAGAAATCTTGCCCTGTATCAACCATAGCTTGGAGTGTGCTCAGTCTTACCTGAAGCCAGCAAGTCTCAGAAGCTCACCCAAGGCCCTTGATGTAGTATCAGGGCATCACCCTAATTTAGGGCACAAGGGCTCTTCAGTTAACAGGTGACAAATACTTCCAGGATTAGATCCTTCCCTTCAAGGCAACACGTTCTCTTCTGGCCCAGGATGTGTCTAGAAATGTCATCCAGGAACTAAAGTCTGGAAAGGAGGCCTCACAACTCTGACCAGTACCCTATCCTGCTATGGCTGAGCTGCTATCCAAGATGCAAGACAAAGTCCTCCCCATTCTTCCCGCTCCTTTCCTCAAGTGGAGGGAAGTGGTCTCTTTTGGAACTGCCAACTATGCAGCCTGGGGTTAACAATACTCTGTTAGCTGCTCTGGCTGGGCTCTCAGTAGGTCACATGCCCTCTTAGTCCACTGTCTCTGGGCCCAGTTCAACACTATGAGTTTCAGGCCTTGTGGCCCAGACTGCCTTTCAAGTTTATTTAGAGTCCCAGAACACTTTAGCCCACAGTGGTGAGGCTTTCAGGAACTCAAGTTCAGATCACTGGGATCAGTAATTCCTCTCTGGCTAGGGCTGGTTTAAATGCTGCCTCTGTGGTGGGCATCAGCTGAGTTTGGTCCAGTTTTGTTTTCTGTTACAATAGGGCAGCACTGAGTTCAATGCCTTGTAAATGTTTCAATCTCCCTCTCCCAAGTACATCAAAACACTCCCCACACCATGCCACCACTGCCATGGGTTGGAGAAGGGGTGGCTGTATCAGTCCATTCTTTCATTGCTATAAAACTGAGACTGGGTAATTTATAAAGAAAAAAGGTTTAATTGACTCACAGTTCTGCAGGCTGTACAGGAACCATGGCTGGAGAGGCCTCAGGAAACTTACAATCATGGCAGAAGGAAAAGGGGAAGCAGACACATTTTACATGCCAGAGGAGGAGGAAGAGAGTGAAGGGGAGGTGCTACTCACTTTTAAACAACCAAATCTCATGAGAACTCTATCCGAGACAGCATTAGTGGAAATATTCTAAACCATTAGAAACCACCCCCACAATCCAATCACCTCCCATCAGGCCCCACCTCCAACACTGGGAATTACAATTCAACATGAGATTTGGGTGGGCACACAGATGCCACTAATATCAGTGGCATTAATGATTCAAGGCTGTTTTTTCTATGTTTTCAGTGCCCCTTTAAGTAATACAAAGTTAAAACCAGGTATCGTGAGTGCTCACCTGATTTTTTGTTCTTATGAAGGTTTTTTTTTTACACAGATGGTTGTTAAACTGGTGCCCTGGATGGGGAAATGATAGGTGGAGCCATCATTCTGACTTCTTGCCTGTCATCTTTCTAAATTTTGCAATTTTTTTGTGATCTTTCTCATTCTAAATATTCTCTTTCTTTCGTGGTTTTGAATTTTCCTTAAAGAGAGACATCCAAAATGCATACGTTTCAGGCTCCACAAGACACAAATCACTCCAACAAAGCAGGGATGGCATATTCATTTTATATAGTTGCTTATACCACAACTTAGAGGCTTAAACAATACATATGTATTATCTCACAGTTGTGTAGCTCAGAAGTCCAACATGGGTTTCACTGGGCTAAAATTAGTGGCAGGACCACATTCCTTCTGGAGCTTCTAGGGGAAAATTGGTTTCCTTGCTTTTTCCAGATTCTAGAGGTTTCCCGCATTCCTTGGCTTGTGGCCCCTTTCTCCATCTTCAAAGCCAGCCATGGCAGTTGAGTCCTCACATCATATCACTCTGGCCTTCTGTGATCACATTTTCCTCTGACTCTCTTCTGCCTCCCTCTTCTGCTTCTAAGGACCCTAGTTATAACATTGAGCCATCCTAGATAATCCAGGATAATCTCGCTATTTTAAAATCAGTTGATTAACCATTTTAATTTCATCTGCAGTCTTAATTCCCTTTTGCCCTGTAAGGAAATGCATTTACAGGTTTCTGAGATTAAGATATTAGCTTTTTCAGGGGCTTTTCTTCTGCCTATCGTGGAGGGTATAATCCTGGATTGGGCATCTCACACCCACACCTGCACCTATACCCACACCCACTCCCAAACAAAGAGGTCATCAACAGAAGAGAAGGGTAAACTTCAGGAGATAAGGCCAGGTATGACTGTGTGAGAGAAAGAGAGACCTGATGACACTGAGTCCCTGACTCCACCTCCTGCTCTACCTTGCTGTTGATCAATCAACTTCCTTTGCCACTTGGGCCACCTTGAGTTCAGTTCCTGTCACTTGCCACTAGCAAAGTCCTGATTAATACAGCAGTTATTTACTGAGAGTCTGCTATGTGGCAAGACTGTGTGAAATAACTTACGAGTACTTGTTGTTTTTAATGCTCATAATCACTCTGAAAAATATTATTTTTTACATTTTAAAAATAAAGAAATCGAGGGTGAAGTACCTAGCCCCAGGTCATCCACTAAGGTTCACTAAGTCTTCCCAATGGATGTTGGCAGAGTTTATACAGTTGGCTCTCAATATTCTTGAGTTCTGCATCTGCTAATTCAACCAACCATGGATCAAAAATATTATTTAAAAACCAATGAAGAAACAATAAAAAATAATATAAATTAAAAAGAATAACATAACAACTATTTACATAGCATTTATATTGTATTAAGTATTATAAGCAATCCAGAGGTGATTTAAAGTATACGGGAGGATGTATATGTGTAATAGGCAAATACTATGCCATTTTACATTAGTTGCTGGAGCATCTTAGGATCTTGGTATCCATGGGGGTCCTGGAACCAATCTCCCATGGATATCAAGGAAGGATATTAAAAATGAAGCTCCTCCTCTGTAGGTTTCTTATTTCTAGAAGTCCTCCACTAGCGCTTCAGCAACTGTGATTGCCTCAAGGTCTGTCCTCTCCTTCTTTAAGCCAAAAAGATTGCAGGTTTTCTGTTGGAGTTTTAGCTGTTCCTGATTAGGGCTTGACTTAGAAGCCATGAAAACAGGAAACTCAGGCAGTTCCATTCATTTCTTCCAGGGCCAACTCCCCTCCCAATTTCCTGGGTGGCCTGTCTCCAGTACACCTCTTCTGACTTCTCAATCTGTATGACAAACTGCAATTTGAATGTCTTAAATGCAGCATCTAAAGATGAACGATTTTCCCCTGCCTCCAAAAAATACACTCTTCCTTTTGAATTTCTCCTTAACATCTCAATGTATTCCCATGACAATTAACTTAATTCTTTTTCATTCCTTTCTAGTATTACTGCAACATTTTAACTGCCTCCCTATTTCTCAATTTACCCCCTCCAATCTTTTTCTTTTTTAATTTTTAAAAATAATAGAGACAGGGTCTCACTATGTTGGCCAGGTTGATCTTGAACTCTTGGCCTCAAGCAATCCTCCCACTTTGGTTTCCCAAAGTGGTAGGAGTACGGGTGTGAGCCACTGTGCCCGGCCCAATCTTTTCTTTATACTGTGGCCAAAGTGTTTACCTCCTTTCTAGCCTTTTATTTTTTTATCTTTTATTTTTTTTTTTTTTAGTCAGAGTCTCACTCTGTCACCCAGGCTAGAGTGCAGGGGTACAATCTCAACTCACTGCAACCTCCACCCCCAGGGTTCAATTCTTGTGTCTCAGCCTCCTGAGTAGCTGGGGGCACAGGCATGTGCTACCACACCTAGTGAATATTTGTATTTTTAGTAGAGACAGGGTTTCGCCATGTTGGCTGGGCTGGTCTTGAACTCCTGACCTCAAGTGATCCTCCTATATTGGCCTCCCAAAGTGTTAGGATTACAGGCATGAGCCACCACAACCAGCCTTTCTAACCTTTATCTATTCCTCCATATGCACTCCTCCAATGCCGTTCGCACACTAGCCCCTCTGTTGAAACACCCTTTCTACCACCATACAGCTAACACTGAATTGTTCTTCAAAACAAGAATCAAATTATTTTCCTTTCCTTTTCTCCATTTCTTTTTTTTTTTTTTTTTTTTTTTGAGATGGGGCCTCACTCTGTTACCCAGTTTGGAGTGTGGAGTGCAGTGGTGCAACTGCAGACTCTAACTCAAGCAATCGTCTCATCTCAGCCTCATAGGTAGCTGGGATTCCAAGTGCATACCACTGTATCAGCATGAATCAGATTCTTCTATCGACTTGCGTTTATGCATGTCATAGCACTCATGATGCTGCCTTGTTAACTTTGCTGTCTCCTCACTAGATGAAGAGCTTCGTGGAGGTTAGGCCTCCTTTTTCAATATCTGTGTTCCCAAATACAAAAATATTCCCAGATACGCAACAGCTGAAATTATGTATTAGAGTCTATAAATATTTGTTGGGCAAATGAATGAAACAAATGTTTATTTAATGGAAGAGTAGCCGTATTATAAATCTACTTCCTTGGTGGATGCCTCTACCCCAGACTTTTCCTTGGTTACGGAATTTTAGTTCTTCCAATCTCTACTTTGGTAAACCTCATATATATATATATGTGTATATATATGTATATATGTGTATATATATACATATAAATGTATACATATATGTACATATATACATATATATACATATATATGTGTATATGTGCATATATACATATACATGTATATGTATATGTATATATACGTATATATGTGTATATACATATATATGTATATACATATATATACGTATATATAATATACGTATATATATGTATATATATACACATATATATACATATACGTATATGTGTATATATATACACACACACACGTATATGTATATACATATATATACATATATACGTGTATATGTGTATATATGTATATATACATGTATATGTATACATATACATGTATATATATGTGTGTATATATACTATATAATATACATATATGTGTATATATACATATATAATATACACATATATGTGTATATATACACATATATATACATATATGTATATATGTGTATATATACACACACACACACACACACACGCACACACACTCCGAGGTTCTTCACATATCCTTGAACCTGAATCGGACATCCCTAAAGCAAGCATCTCATTTGCGGTTCATTCTAATATAGTGGCCGTTGATTGAGTCATCTGAAAGATTTTTTTACTTTTATTTTTTGAGACAGAGTCTCACTCTGTCACTCAGGCTGGATTGCAGTGGCACAGTCTTGGCTCACTGCAACCTCTGCCTCCCAGGTTCAAATGATTCTGCTGCCTCAGCCTCCCAAGTACAGGCGCACACCACCACGCCTGGCTAATTTTTGTATTAACAAACAGTGTTTTACCATGTTGGCCAGGCTGGTCTCGAGCTCCTGACCTCAAGTGATCTGCCTGTGTTGGCCTCCCAAAGTGCTGAGATTACAGGTGTGAGCCACCATGCCCAGCCTGAAAGACTTTTAACAGTTTGGAGAGTAAAAGGAACTCAATACAACTGCAGCATGTCATCAGATTTGCCAGATTCCTAATCATAATTGGGAAGAGCACCCACATTTTTCATATATCTAAGAGTTCCCTTTGAATCTGGTCACCTTCACTCTTTTGATTACAAGTACATGAACCTACAAATTAACAAAATAAGAAAAAACATATCTATTTTGGAAGAGGCATAACAAAAAAAAAGTTAAACTAAATGCAAATAGAAAATACAAAAATATGTTTCACGTTTCTAATACAAAATAAGTATCTGCTGTCAAAAGAAATGCAGATCCATAAGGAAGTATGTAAAGACTTGAGTTAAAGGTTGGAGATAGCTTAAGAACCCTGCCAGTTATATAACTCATTTCTCTTACCTAAAAACTAACAATGAGAACCACTCGACATTTTATGGCAATGGGAAAGAAATGAAAGAGTATGATAAAATGGCCAGCTCAATGAATCTAGTGAAAAATTATATAGTAATTAACACCATAATTTCAACCTGTATCAAAATAAAATAGGAGATGGAGATGGAATTCAACCAAACAATTTGTTTGATATGTGCAAGATAATTTGAATCAGAAGAAAAGTCTTTTTAATACAAAATGACAACCAAAATCCAATCTGGGCTCAAGATTTTAAACTAACACATGCATTGTTTTTTTTCTAAGTTGCTTTGCAATATAATGCCACCTGAGGGCACCAGAGTGTTAAAAATCTTTTTTATCATACTCTGCTGAAATAAAAAGTTCAAATTCTTTCAATTAACATTTATTAAACAGTTGTATATTTTTTGGTTTTGTAGACACAAGGTTGCCCAGACTGGTCACAAACTCCTGACCTCAAGTAATCCTCCTGCCTCAGCTTGCCAAAGAGCTGGGATTAAAGGCATGAGACACCACACCCAGCCACTGTTACAGGTTTTATGGACAAGAGGCTGTAATAAGGACACAAAGATAAATGAATCATGATCGCTGGTCTCGGTCAGTGAGCTCAACATCTGAAGGGGGTGGCCTTAGAGCTACAGAGGAGAATGTCATGGTTTGAGTTACTTAATGACATCAGGTATGAGCACAAGCAACCTCCCTGACAGTTGTTCTCTAAGTAGGGTCCAGACTCTTAGGAGTCTCTGAGGTCCTCTTGGGGTTGATTAAGGTCAAAAAATTTTTCATTATAATAGTAACATGTTTTTGCTTTCATTTTTTTTAATGCATGTTGAGAGGTATTTTCCAAAGGCTACAATATGACATGTGACAATGCCATTGCTATGCTGAGGTATGGTTTGGCTTTGTGTACCTACCCAAATCTCATCTTACATTGTAATCTTCTAATCCCCAAGTCGTTGGAGGGACCTGGTGTGAGGCAATTGAATCATGGGGCAGTTTTCCTCCCATGCTGTTCTTGGGATAGTGAGTGCATTCTAATGAGATCTGATGGTTTTATAAGGGGCTTCATCCTTTGCTGGGCACCGATTCTCCTGCCACCCTGTGAAAAGTTGCCTTCTACCATGATTGTTAAGTTTCCTAAGGCCTCCCCAGCCATGCAGAACTGTGAGTCAATTAAACCTGTTTTATTTATAAATTACCCGGTCTTGGGTATTTCTTCATAGCAGCATGAGAATGGACTAATACAGCTGACTAATGGAATGTATGCTTATAAATTGTGTTTTTAAAGAAATCGTCAAAAGAGTAAGTTTAGGACATAAATTTGTGCACTTTTAGAGGTTAGCTCTGTTTTCTGTACTTCCATAGGGCTCTTACAAACTATTTTTAGTAATATCACCATGATCTCTATAACCTTTCTGTCCAATAAATTATTTTGAAACTCAGAAATTTTTCTTATACCTCTGTAGAAAAACACTATTAATAGACTTTAATGTCTTATTTTGCAATATTTTAAAATTCTTTAGAACTTTTCTAAATTTTTAATTTTTACCTAAACTATTTCAGTTTAATAATTTATACTAAAATTAGCGGCCAGGAACAGTGGCTCACACCTGTAATCCTAGCAGTTTGGGAGATCAAGGCAGGTGGATCACTTGAGGTCAGGAATTTGAGACCAGCCTGGCCAACATGGTGAAACCCATCTCTATTAAAAATACAAAACTTAGCTGGGCATGGTGATGTGTGCCTGTAGTCCCAGATACTCAGAAGGTGAGGTAGGAGAATCAGTTGAACCTGGGAAGCAGAGGTTGCAGTGAGCCAAGATTGTGCCACTGCACTCCAGCCTGGGTGACAGAGCAAGCAAGACTCCATCTCAAAAAAAAAGTAAAAACAAAAAGTATAATTAGCAAAAATATATTTTTATTTTCTTATAGTTAAGAAGATAAGCTGGCTAAAAATAAAGATTAGAAGACTTGGTTTCTCAATCAAGAGCTGCACCATCAACATCTAAAAATGTTCAAAGAATGAAATTGACACCAAAATATTTTCTAACTCATGGAAAAAGAAAAATTTACTTCAAATAAACTGGGCAAAATTATAAATAAACAAAAAGTATGAAGAAAACTACCGTGATAGTTAATTTTAGATAATTTGTCAATTTAAAAATTTAGTTGCAAACATGAAGACTCAATTAACAGCTTATCTGCAGACTTGTACTTGCTTTACAAATGGGCAAATCTACAGATGTGGCCGGACCTGCTGTTTTACTTGTACTCATGTGATACCAGCACCAACCAATTATCAAAGAATATCTTATTTTATGTGAATACTTGCCAATAAACATAAGTGATGCTGAAACAGTCAAAGCACTAAATAACCTTTTCGAATTATACAATTTTTACTGAAACAATTATGTCAAACACTTGCACTGATAGTGCACAAGAAATGGGTAAAACTGCTGGTATCTTAATATGAATCAAGAATATTCATGATGGCACCAATGAGTATTAGTAATCATTATATTTCTTAGCTCCAAGGTTTTTAATAGTAAAGGGGGAAAATGCCAGCTTTACTTACAGATGTTCTATACAAAACAGTAAAAGTCATTAATTTTATTAAGTTTCAAACCTTGAGAACATCTTTTTCATATTCTGTGTGATTGCAATGGGACATACACCTAAAGCTAAATATTCCAGGTCATAATACTCATATTTTGCTATTTAGAAAGCATGAAGAAAATAAATTACACTAGACTATCTAAGGGAGAAGTAGTTTACATGACATGATATTTTGATGAGCTACAATAAAAAAATGACAATCTTAAAAGCATGAGTCAACACGGCCGGGCACAGTTGTTCACACCTGTAATCCCAGCACTTTGGGAGACCGAGGCGGGTGGATCACCTGAGGCCAGGAGTTTGAGACCCACCTAGCCAATGTGGTGAAACCTTATCCCTACTACAAACACACAAAAAAATTAGCTGGACATGGTGGTACACACCTGCAATCCCAGCTACTCAAGGGGCTGAGGCACAAGGATCGCTTGAAAACAGGAGGTAGAGGTTGCAGTGAGCTGAGATCGTGCCACTGCACTCCAGCCTGGGTGGCAAAGCAAGATCCTGTCTCAAAATACACAACAAAAAAGTATGAGTCAACAAATTTCATGTACTTAAAACTATAAAACCAAAATTTTAAAGGCCATTACAGTCATCTTGGTCAAGATTTTCCCAAATGCAAGATCCTCCACAATATCTAGGAAGATTGGTCATACATTTCCTGCTCAAACACTACCACTACTCATTCCCTTTTAAGCAAATCTTTTTAAGCATTCTGGTAGAAAGAGTATTTTTCCCTCAGTGAACAGGAATCTGCATCCTTTCAACATGCTTGGATCAGCCCTCATTGCGTTCCTCTTCAATGCAACCCACGCTGCATTGAGAGATAGGCAGAGAATGTAACTTCTCCCTATAACGACCTCCAAGTCAAAACTTCTTGATTTGATATAGTGGAAAGAACATTGCTGTAAACTGAATGTTTATGTCCACCCAAAATTCATACATTGAAACCTATTCCCTTAATATGATAGTAGTTGAAAGCAGAGCCTTTGAGAGGTGATTAGGTGACTAATCCCTTTGAGAGGGATTAGTGCCTTTTTAATAAAAGAGACTTTGGAGTGCTTCCTTCACCCTTCTATTATATGAGAAAGTGAGTCCTCTTCGGACACTAAATCTGCTGAAGTCTTGATCTTAGACTTTCCAGCCTCCAGAACTGTGAGAAATAAAATTCTGTTGTTTATAAGACCCAGATGTTATGGAATTTTTGTTATAGCAGCCTGAATGGACTAAGCCTGAATTGGAAATTAGACCTCATTCAAGTGCCAGTGCACTCACACACCTGCAAGGTGACGACAGGCAAATTACTAACTTCCTTGAGTTTCAGTTTGCAAAAATGGAGAATAGGCTGGGCGCAGTGGCTCACGCCTTTAATCCCAACACTTTGGGAGGCCAACAAGGCAGATTACCTGAGGTCAGGAGTTTGATACCATCCTGGCCAACATGGCAAAACCCCGTCTCTACTAAAAATACAAAAATTAGCCGGGCATGGTGGCATGTGCCTATAATCCCAGCTGCTGGGAAGGCTGAGGCAGAAGAATCACCTGAAGCTGGGAGGCAGAGGTTGCAGTGAGCCGAGATCAAGCCATTGCACTCCAGCCTGGGCAACAAAAGCAAAACTCCATCTCAGAAAAAGAAAGCGGAGAATAATAATTCTTTCAACCACATCCCAGCAACTGGTGCAAAGATCACTGGAGAATATGTTTAAAACTTCTTGGTAAACATAAAACTAGTGTTCATCCATGCAACATACATTTATTTAGAAAGACACCTTGCTAGATTTCCTTCCATGGAGCCATATGGGAAAATTGTTTAAAGCTGCTATTGCTGAACATTGACTATGTGCCAATGTCTCATTCATGGTTTCACCTTTTTTTTTTTTTTCCAGTTCTTTCCAACAATTTAATGGGATAGCTCAAAATAGTATACCATTTTATATCTAAGGAAATTGAGACACATACAAACCAGGTAACTTAACCCAAGTCACACAAAAAATACCTAGTTGATCCCTCTTTTCTTAACAGCCGTTCAAATACTGGAAGTCAGCTTTCCTACCTACTGTCTACTTGCTTTATCTTTGGGACCCCTACACACACATTTATCTTTTGCTCAGAACAGCCTGGCCAGAAGCCTGGCTCAGAATCCTGGAGTCAGTCAATTGGTCACTGGACTTTTTGAGACCCAAGGATGCCTATGCTAATCAGGTTCAGCAAGACAAATGTCTGTGAAATACATGCAACTCAGCCTGCATTAAGAGATATGCTAGGACAATCTAACCTCTCTTCATAACTACCTCCAAGTCAGAAAGAACGGAAAGGCTTGAAAATTTGTCAAAAGTTAGCAACTGCAATTTCAGAACACTTGTACACCAAAGAGCTAAAGATCAAAACTAACAACCAGTGCTTTTTGCTACTTTTTTTTTTTTTTTTTTTTTTTTGATTCGGAGTCTCACTCTGTCGCCCAGGCTGGAATGCAGTGGCATGATCTCAGCTCACTGCAACCTCTGCCTCCCAGGTTCAAGTGATTCTCCTGCCTCAGCCTCCTGAGTAGCTGGGACTACAGGCACCTGCCACCATGTCCAGCTAGGTTTAGTATTTTTACTAGAGATGAGGTTTCACTCTGTCAAACTCCCAACCGCAGGTGATCCAGTTGTCTCCACCTCCCAAAGTGCTGGGATTATAGGTGTGAGCCACCATGCCCAGCCTTGGTGTTACTTTAGAATTTCTCACTAAAGTCACATCTTAACAAACAAATGTGATTTTTATTTTTTAATACGCTAAAACTGGATCATCCAAATGACTACTGGATGACTATCTTTATGGTAGTCACTTTGGTGGGCTCTGCATTTATTTAATAACACTCATCATAGTACCAAGCACTTAGAAGGCACTCAGTCAATGTAGGAATGATTCTGGTAATGCTGCCATTGCTTAGAGTATTTTTGGAATTATTATTTTGCTATGTCTCATGAAGTCAAAACATTTTAAATACCTTGTTTTGGAGGTTTTTTAGTTATTTTTTTTCTTTTGTTATATCTTAAATATCTTTAATAGTAGCAGTTTTTGGCCTTAGTGGACATGGCTTGGCAAATTGTAAAATTCTTTCTCCCACTGTGAAACAAACCACAGAAAACTACATTAAACATAAAAATTTATTACATTTTTAGAAATGCCAAAAGCACCTATTCAAAAAGAAGTATTTTGCTTTTCTGGACACACATTTCCAGGTTCTGAGAACGTGCCTAGCTATACAGAAAATCCCAGGCTTGTCTTCCCTGGACTTAGTTATATATGGAAACAGATGTAGATGAAATAGAGGATGTTTCTTGAGGCAGGACCACATTTTTTATATCTTTGAATCTCTTCATTCACCAGCACTACGTTTTGTTTATAGTACTTGCTCAATAATTACTCAACTAATTTTCAGTATAAATTACTTTGGAATTTGGAATAGGCTTATTAAAAGAGATACAAATTACTTATTAGAACATCATATTTATTTAGGAGGTCATTATGTGATAGAGTATCATTGAGGGACTGCCATAGGCAATTTTTTTTTTTCTGTGTAAACTTTCCAGCAACTTTGTTTACAAGTCAATTTCTCTAATTCAGGCCAGATCCTTGTTCAACCTTTCCCCCATCCCAACATGCCAGGAAGTTTGCCTCTTTCATTACTTACATATACTCCTCTAGATGACTCTTCACTTAAAAGTGACACCTGAATGACGTATTTACAAGTTTTCCCTCCTGCCTTATCCTGCAGTTTTAAGAAATCATACGTATGGATCTTAGTGTTACTTAAGGGTCTTTAAATGGAAGAAACATTAAGTCTGACATTCCAGTTCTGACATCTTTGATGGCTCCCCACTGCTTGCAGGATAAAATCAACATTTGGTGAAAATGATAGAGGATCCTTCATGACCTGGCTCCTGCTGTGTCACCAGCCTCATTTCCCTTTCCTTCCCTTATACCTATAGTGAACTCCAAAAGGTTTCCTGAACCCAATGGGTTATAGCATGCCTATTGTTAATCAATCATTAAAACCAAATGATGACATCCTCTGGAAAGCTTTCCCTGAGCTGTCCTACTCTTCCCTATGCTCTGTACACAGTACATGCTGAAAAACTCATTTGCAGTAGCCTGTTCTACAAGGTTGTGATCAATTTCAGCACAAGGGTTGTCTTTCTTCTTTGTACTCTCAGTACAAGTCCTAGCCTAGCAGGCCCTTATTTACTGACTTTGTTGCTTTAATTTAGTAAAAGGAGAAAAATTTACACAATATAAAGAGAAAGCAAAACATTGCTCAAATTTGGAAAGTTGCAGTTACAAGAAATATTTACTACCAAAGAAATCATTGATCACATTTTAATGTAACTAGTGAAGACCTTCTCTATTTACTCACCATCATGGATCAGATCCCTTCTCGTGGAGGTTAGATAGACTGGGCTATTTGAACTTCGTTTAGCCCTGCCTTTAGCTAGGTCTAGGAGGGTTCTCAGTGCTTCCTGCAGCAACTTGTTCTTTATTATTTTCTATGGATTTAGATATCATGTGGTACCTCTGGAGTGGTTTCACTGGCTGAGGAAGGTGTTTCCTAATTCCCAGATCTCAGGTCCAATACACTGACTTCATATCTTTGCCCCATCACAGAAATTATTCCCTCTTCCCCACCCTAGAAAGAATATGCGTACTGCCCTCTATGCCTAGTTCTGTTAGTCTGAAGCATGTGTTAGGATAAGATATTAACTTCATCACCTGAAGCTCTCGCTAGCCGAGCTATTATGTCTCACCAGCACCTACTCAACTTTGAGTACAGACCCCAAAATTATGGCAACCTGATGCCTTATCACAACACTTTAATATCAAGCCCTACCCTCTTGTTTCAAATCTCTTATCCTATTTTATTGTTTCCTGCTGCTGGTAAAGTGATGTCTCTAGTTCTCAATTCATGTTCTCCAACAATGCCTCCACTTTGGAGAAAAATAAGCTATAACTTCCACCAAAAGAAGGCAAGGGTCTTCGGTTAAAATAAGTGGTCCTTATTAGTGTTAGCACAATCCAGTTGAGGAAAAAAGAGTTTTTAATCTTCATAAATACTCAAAGCAGAGAATGCTGGCAGAGTGACAGAAGAAATTACATCACTTTTAGAGAGGGAAGTAGGTCTGTCCTTTGAAAACTGTCTCTCATGTTTCACAAGTTTTCTCACCTTCTCAGTAAAATTCTCTATATTGCACTGATAAATTTACACTTCCTTCCGATTTAGGACACACTATAATTCATCCTGTGTGGACAAATTACAATCATATTTTACAAATGGGAAAAATATTGTCTTAAAAGTTAAGCTTCCTTTCATTCAGAATGTCTGTATTAAAAGATTGCAGGCTTTCAAATATTGCCCCAGAACTGGGCGGGCTGGGGGAAAGCATTTTGCACGACTGAAAAATCACAAAGGCAATGGTGTAAAGATCAAATATGATAACCCAATTTCACTTTCCTTAAGTTTTCAAAGGACTAGTTTTTAATATTTAGAACAAGGACCAGCAATCTACTGTCCCTACCCAGTTGGTTTTATTGGAAAAGACACACCTACTTGTTTAGTGTCTGTGGCTATTTCGGTACTATTAGTTGAGTAGAAACAAAAATCACATGGCCTAAAATACTTACCATCTAGCCTTTTACAGAAAGTTTGCCAACACTCAATTTAGAAAATAATCTTCAAAAAAGAAATTGCAGACATCTTAATAGATGACATGAGCCTCTATGTCTCTATTTGGGGAATACAGAATTTCCTAGACTCACTTCTTAGTAGCCAGGTTATTTCATTCTGTCAAATGACACTCGAACATTCAATAAACCAAACTAACTTTTAAAAAGCTAAACAATGTCAGGACATTAACGCCAGATTTGAGGGAGAATAAATACCTCTTCACCTCACCAAGTCAACTTCTCATAATGCAACTGTACCTGCTTATTACAGTACCCAGACTGACATTTCATTGTTTTCCCTTCTTTCCAGTCATTAAAGAAAACCACATTAGGGCCAGGCGCAGTGGCTCACACCTGTAATTCCAGCACTTTGGAAGGCTGAGTCAGGCAGATCACTTGAGGCCAACAGTTAGAGGCCAGCCTGACCAACATGGCGACACCCTCATCTCTACTAAAAATACAAAAACTAGCCAGGCATGGTGGCACATACGTGTAATCCCACCTACTCGGGAGGCTAAGGCATGAGAGTTGCTTGAACCCGGGAGGCGGAGGTTGCAGTGAGCCATGTTCACACAACTGCACTCCAGCCTGAGCAAGAGTGAAACTATCTCAAAGAAAATAATAATTAAAATTAAAATGGCACTAAGACTATGACAAAATTACATTCCCTACAGAGGAAAGTTACATTCTGGCATCTAAGTAAAAATTACATTACAGAATCATAAACCTCTTAAACAAAAGCTGACACATGCAAACATACAATCTAACTTTCTCAAGGTATCAGTGTCTACTAGACATCTAGTTTTAGGTTATCAAGTGTCCAGTTTTTAAAAGATTAAGAAACTGAAGGCAAAAGAGTTATATACTCTTGCCAGGTACAGTGGCCATGTAATCCCACCATTTTGGGAGGCCAAGGCAGGAGGATCGCTTGAGCCCAGGAGAGTTTGAGAACAGCTTGGGCAACATAGCAAGACCTGGTCACTTTTATTTTTTTATTTTTTTTTAATACAGAGTCTCACTCTGTCAAGCAGTGTAGGCTGGAGTGCAGTGGAGTGATCTTGGCTCACTGGAACCTCCATCTCCCAGGTACAAGTGATTCTCTTGCCTCAGCCTCCTGTGTAGCTGGGACTACAGGCATGTGCTGCCATGCCTGGCTCATTTTTGTATTTTTAGTAGAGATGGGGTTTCACTATGTTGGCCAGGCTGGTCTTGAACTCCTGACCTCGTGATCCACCTGCCCTGGCCTCCCAAACTGCTGGGATTACAGGCGTGAGCCACCACATCCACCCGACCCTGACTCTTTAATAAAATCAAAAGGGGGGGGTTACATACTGTTGTCACAATTCTCCAGCTCATGACCTTTGCTCACCTTTAGCATTCCAGAAAACGAGGGAATGCAAGTATCAGGTTAAACCCTTGCTTAATTAATGTGCTTACCTACCTTATTTCCACAAAAAGCATGAAGTGACATGACTAACAAAGGCAATTCTATTCTGAAAGATTTGAAAGCAGGAAAACCCATTCTTGCAATTAGTTCACAGGACTGTGACTTACCATTTCAATGATTACATTTCAGACCTCTGATAAAACTCATTTTAACGGCTGAATAGAATCAAGTTTAGGTCATAACTGAGCATAATACCAAATGAAGCACAGATAAAACAGTTGTAATTTACTGTGAGAACTCAGATATTTCACACTATTCACAACCACTTAGAATAGTAGCTGCCCATTTAACAAGTTAATTTTTAAAAAATAGGTACTACCTGCTACTGAGGGAGGTAAAGCTCCAGTTGAACTAAGTGTCACTAGTAGCGAATTAACAGCTAAATTTACGGAACATCTATTACAAACCAGGATTTACACCAGGTGCTTTTCATTATTCTTTTCATCCTCACATTAACACTGTGGAATATATTAAGTTGCATATCTAAAGTCACGGCTAAAGCTGGGCACAGCAGCTAATGCCTGTAATCCCAGCACTTTTGGAAGCCAAAGCAGGTAGATCATGTGAGGCCAAGTTTGAGACTAACCTGGCCAACATGGTGAAACCCCACCTCTACTAAAAATACAAAACAGGTTGGGCGTGGTGGTGTGCACCTATAATCCCAGCTACTTAAGACTGAGGCATGACAATTTTTTGAATCTAGAAAACAGACTTTGCAGTAAGCAGAGATTGCACCACTGCACTCTAGCTGGGATGACAGAGCAAGACTCTTGCAAAAAAAAAAAAAAAGTCATAGCAAAAAAAGGAGCAAAGTGTGGTTTCAAACCCAGGTGTGACTACTTCCACTATACTGTATGTTAATGCAGCTGGTTGCTGGGCACGGTGACTCATGCCTATAATACCAGCACTACGGGAGGCCTGAGCAGGCAGATCTCACTTGAGGTCAGGAGTTTCAGACCAACCTGGCCAATGTGGCAAAACCCCATCTCTAAAAATATGAAATTTAGCTGGACATGTTGGTGAGTGCCTGTAATCCAAGCTACTTGGGAGGCTGATGCATAAGAACCACTCAAATCCAGGAGGCAGAGGTTGCAGTGAGCCAAGATTGGGCCACTGCACTCCAGTCTGGGCAAGAGTAAGACTCTGTCTCCAAAAAAAAAAAAAAAAAAAAAAAAAAAAACCATTGTGGGGGACAGGATTTTTAAATATTACAAAGTCAACACAAACACAAGTATTTTTTGAAGGTCCCCAATGATA